TTTAGGCATGAAAGATAACTTTTTGTTGGTCATTCTCTCTCAGCCTAACTTACCTCACAGAGTTGTTGTGAGGAAAATAAGAGGAGGAAGGATTGTTAGGTATGTTTGCCTCTTTGAATTATTTAGAAAAAGAATAAACTTGGGATGAAAAAAAATCTAAAAATATGTTTTGTAATTGGATGGGAAAGGTTCAGGACCCTGGACAGTATCCCTAGTTTTAGAGATTTTGGAATGAAGTTTATTAAGAATTATGACAGATGATCCGGCAGGAATCCTAAGCAACTATAAAGAAAGAAAGAAAGAATCCCAAAAGGTAGGTTTTTATATTTTGAGCATAATAATCCTTCCCAGAACCACATAATTGAATTTGCATCTTTAAAGCCAGCACTTATGTTTTCTGCAGCTGTCATGCGACCTTCCAACCCCAAAATGTTTTCATTCTGAATTCCATTTATTTCAGCTAATAACTTTCTAGAATTCTCAGCTTGTTATTCCTTTAGACTTCCTAGCAATTTTAGTCTCAATTCATAACAAAACTCAGATCTTCTTTCATCTGAGCATTGAAAACTCTTCAAAATGTTGGGACTGAAGCATTAGTGAGCAGCTGAAAGAAGGTCACCTTGACATAATGATATTTCCATATTTCCAGGCTGGGTAGACAGAACATTTTTATTAGTCTACTTTTTTTTTTATAAAGAGTCATTCTTTTGGCATTTATTGTGAGTAAAGAGCAAGCTAATATTTTTTGAAGGAGGTATTAAGGCTGTAATAAGCCCAAAAATCTTGAGGAATGATCAGGAGAATTTCATCAGCTTTATAACACAATTGTACCATTGATTTACTCTAATAGAAAGTGAGTTTATATCTTTAACCAAAATGCACCAATGTTTCTTTACCAATTAACAATGGTTTAACCAATAACCCAACTGTATTGAACCATAAACCTGAATATATGAGTGGAGTCCACACATTTTATTATTTTTACAATAATTTTATTGAAGTTTGCAAATACAAAGATAAAAAACTAATACAAACTAAGGAAAATATAAAAAGAAAAGAAAAAGTATAAAGTGAATGAAAAAAGAAAAGGTACACACACACACACCCCTCTCTCCCAGCAGTTGCCAATCAGTGTACTGTGGCTGTGAGAAAATTTTGGTGGGCTGCAGAGAAATCTCACCCCCAGAGCACCCACCCCAAAGCAATTAATCCAGGCTGTGCAGAAACACAAGGCTGCGCCGCCCACGTGGCCCGCAGGAACCCTCCCCACCCACTCACTCCTTACCCAGCAAACTTGCCTGTTAAGTTGCTATTTTTCCTTTTTCTGACCATCAGCTGTTCTGCTATGCTGGGAGATTTAGATTAGCTAGGAAGCAAGAAATGGTTGGATTTCTTGCTTTCTAGCTAGGTTTTAGATCTTTGGCTCTGCTTTTAAGCACAGCCAAACCTCCCTTAGGACTGAAGGTTCTATTATTCAGTGCAGACTCACAGCAAGCAAATTTTATGTGACAGACTGAGCTAGCTGATAGCAGATAGATAGATCACTGAATGATTCTGTGGGCAACTCAATCTGCCTGCCTGCTTTGCCTGCTTTTGGGTAAAAGTTGCTCTTTTTTCATAAAAAAATATCGATATTTATATAAATATTTATAATATTTACATACAAGCCATGCCCAGCCAGTCACATGTCCACCAAGGCACACCCACAAATTAGGCCATGCCCACAGAACCAGTTAATAGTCCCTGGGATTTAAAATTATGAGTTTGGTGGTCCCTGAGGTCCGAAAGGTTGGTGACCCCTGCTCTAGACAAGTATAAATCATTTCAGTAACTTAACATCTTCTTTAGTATTTCAATTTAAAAGCCCTCTTCTTCCCATATCTTATGTTATAAAACAAATAAAAACTCATCATTCAATTCTAACCAGCAAAAGAGCTATCATAAATATTAACACAACTATTTTAACCTTAATAAAAAAAAATCATTTTGTAACCCAATGTTGTTCTCTAAGAAACAAAGTGAAAAATCTTTCCACTTATAAACAGATCCTTACAGCTTCATCATTCAATCATGGTAAAAAGAAAAATCCTATTAATAACTAATAACAGAAACCACAATTTATACATTTTAACTCTGATCAAATTGATTCACTTTGTAGAGTTCTATTTACCTTTAAAAATCTTGATCCTTATTTGCATTAAGTAATGTCCCACAGGTTGATTTCTTATCAATTTCTCTTTATCTGCTCTCAGAAACAGTTTCCTTTGTTTCATACTTTCCTTTTAGAAATATGAGATAAGAAGGCCTTCCACATTCCTTTGTATTATTTATTATTTGTAAGTATATTTAATTATTAAGACATCATCTGGGATAATTTGTAAATCATGTTGTCATCTTTTGTCATATCACTTTGGCATTTTGAAGTCCATTTTTACATCTTTTACAGCATCTTTTTCCATATTCTTTTTGTAATCCAGCATCTTTTTTGAATTCCAATTCTACACTCAGATCAGAATCTCTATTTTATCCAATAAAATTTGTTGCTGTTATTTATCATTTTCTATAGTGGTTAACTACAAGATAAGCATCTTGAAACAACATATGGCTAAATTGTTTTCCAAAACAATAAGGCTTGCTGTGAATAGAAGCAAGCAATAGAACAATAGAAGTAAGTAGTTTACTTGATCAGTATTGGTTATATTTAGGACTTATTTGTTTTAACATTTATTATTTAGTCTTGGACTGTGATTCAATATTTATTGATTGGTTGGTTTTTAGTTTTTAGTTTAGTTTGATGTGCAGCCTCTGACATTATGATTTAGCATGCCATAGGAACCAGACTATTGTTTCACTTGAGATATGCTATATGACAATCTTTCAAATCTGGTACTTTTCAGACATGTTGTCTCTAATTCTCATTATATTACATAGCTCAGTTATTTAAGATAATACAGCATGATGATTTTCTGATGTAGTTACTGAAATATGCTGGGGGAAGAAATAAATCAATACACAAAAATATGAAATGTCATTGTATGCATTTTGGAAATAGCACCAACTATTGGAACTAAAATCGTAAACATGAAAATAAATATGGAATAATAGAATAACAAGAATAATAAGATAAAAATGTCAGAGATGTAATGTCCCAAATTTCTTGTTACACATAATACTAACATACAAGATGAGTTTAGAATAAGTTCCAACACAGATATTTTATTTTCTTCTGTTTTGAGCATTTTTTCCTACTGACAATTATTTGAAGCTATAGGGCACAACAGATTTATTTATGAAGCATAAAATTCCATATGAGAAAGATCAGATCCAAAACTAAAGGATAACAGTGAATAAAGAAAGAAAAATATTACAGCTTTATTATATGCATAGTTTATGGGCCCAGTGCTTTCAAATACAACATTAAACAGAAGGTACAAACATCTTTGGTAGTTCATAAAAAGTATTTCAATTAGGAATTAATTATAGAACATTGATTTCTAACATAAATGCTTTCCTTTAGAATAGAAATAATACAAGATGGCGCACAATAGATGTACTCAATGAACAGAAGCTGCTTGAGACCTACAGAAGGGATTTGTTTATGAGTAAACTCTTTTGTGAAAAAAAATTCCTTTGAGGTGAGTTGAAAATACTGGATGCCAATTATGTCTGATTTCAAAATGGCACTTTTTGTTTCTATTGGAAAAGTTTATTCATTCTTGATTTTGCACACAATTTTTCATCTCTAACAATTTTAGCAGATCAATTTTTTAATCTAAATGACTTGCTGCTGAAATTATGGTTTCGTCAGTGTTCCAACAAAATGCTAGATGGCTAGATGTTTTCAATTTTAATTCTTGAGCCCTTAGTTCTTTGAATGAAAATTGAAATAGCTGATCAGCTTTCAAATATATTTCAAAGTATGGATTGACAATACTTCTAAACAAACACTATTCAACAGAATTGCAAATAGGAAATAAACAGATTCTGTTATGGATTGCTGCAGGTGTTCTGTTTTATGTTCTTTTTGTATTGCTGTGATGAAAAGTGATACACTAATGAAAATAATATTCCTGAATAAAGCTCTTATTATATCCTGTTTGCTGTGTATCTTTCAGCCTCAAAGTACATTAGCAAAAACCAACTTTTTAAATATGTGTATTCTTTGCATCTTTTGGAAAAAAGCCAGGATGCATTAAGGAGGTTATAGTGGACTATAGAAAAAAAAGAGCAGACATTCAGCCACTGTATATAGAGGGAGTTCATTCAACAGGTGGTTGAATGTAAGTTTCTCGGGACCATCATTACAAATGACCTGACCTGGAGTGCAAACACCGCTGCTTTAATTAAGAAGGCACAACAACGGTTGTATTTACTAAGGATTCTTAGGAAACAACAACTGGCTGAGAGTCTATTGACTACCTTCTATCGGAGTTCAATTGAGAGTATATTATCCTACTGTCTCTGTGTATGGTTCTCGAGCTGCACAGTGGCAGAGAAAAAGGCAATTCAGAGGGTGATCAAGATGGCCCAAAACATCATTGGCTGCTCATTCCCCTCTTTGGAAGAACTGTATAGGAATAGATGTAGGAGGAAGATACTTAACATATTGAATGACTCCTCTCATCCGGGACATCAGCTCTTTGAACTATTACCATCGAGAAGGAGATTTAGGGTATTAAGAACAAGGACGACCAGATTTAAGAACAGTTTTTATCCAAGTGCAGTTTTGAGTTTGAATGCGGGGTCATAAGATTTTTGTGGAGCTTAATGGCTGAGTAGTGGGGTATTTACATTTTTAAATTGTACAGAGATTATTGTATGGTTGGTTGTGTTTAGTTTAATTTTTTTTTCTTTTTCTTTTTTAGTGGTGTTTGTCCAGTTTTGCTTGTGGAAGAACACCTCATTTCGTTGCACCCGCTTGCGAGTGTAATGACAAATAAATTCTTATGTCTTATGTCTTATGTCTTATTTGCATAAATCAAGATTTAAAGTATGTTTAGTTAGTACATTAGATCCATCGCTCCATTCGGTGCCTCAGAATTTTTTGATTTTGAAAAAGGAAACTCAAATCCAGCCAGGCGTATAAGCAGAATGTTCATAAAGTGTACTAATGAGCACACCAGGATGATCCAGAAGGATTTTGCAAATTGCTCACTGTGAATTTTAAAAATAAAACTTCCTTCTTTATAATTAGCTATTTTCTCAGAGAGGTGGTGGATTTTCACTTCTGAAGAAAACAGTATCAAAATAAGAAAACCACAAGACACTGAAAAAAAAAGAAATTCAAAATTAATATTTGGTCAATTTTTCAACCTAATTCTGCAGCCTTTCAACATTTATAAATTAGCTCTTCTATCTATTTTCTTCTTTAAGAGGTTGGGTCCCAGTTGAATCCAATTATTAATAAGAACAGATAATTATAACTTGATTTTCTTCTCCATCTTTTCTCTAAATATATCAGTTTAAAATCCACACTCCACTGAGTTTCACCAGGTCTGTGTAGCCTGCCAGCTTCATCTGACAGATCCCCTTTCTTGCTTTGTTTGGTATTTGCTTGGATTAAAATGAGTGTTCCAATTCATGTATTACAGGGTGAACATGCTATCTCTATCTTTTTTCTTCTTTATAAATTAAACAAAGTTCCCCCAAATCTGTTTGTGCATGAAAAATAAAACTTATTAATCTGTCTGAATGGTAATGTTTGGTAATTTCTTTCCCACTGCTTGTAAAGCAAGTGTGCTTGCTGAGCTAATTCTATTCCCTGTTGCCTGAGACAGTCATAAATAGCCTTTTCTCCTAAAAGCAAAAACTAGGAGTGTAATGTGCTATTTATGCCAGATCTCTGTTCAAAGATTGCCCCTCTAGATGATGCTATCAGCTTCCCACAGTGCAACTTGGTCCAAAAGATTGCATAGTCCTGTCTCAGTGTCTGGAAGCTGTAAGAGTCTGGGTGGGTTGCAATAGGTTTCAACTCAACCCAAGCAAGAATGAGTCCTTTGGGTATTTGGGCTTTCCAGTGATAAGGTTTTTCCACTCTTGCTCCTGGATGGGTGACTCTGCCCCAGATGGATCAGTGGGCAGCCTGGGATTTTTCTTGAACTCATGGCTCTTGCTAGAAGAGCAGGTGATAGATGTGGCCAGGACAGCTTTTGCCCATCATAGAGTTGTGTGCCAGTTGCATCCATTCTTAGATCAGGAAGCTTTGCTCATAGTCATTCATTCCCTTGTGACCTCTCATTTGAATTACTGCAATGAGTTTTAGATGAAGCTGCCCTTGAAGAGCATTAGGAAGCTTCAACTGGTACAGAACAGCAATAGCAATAGCACTTAAACTTATATACTGCTTCACAGTGCTTTACAGCCCTCTCTAAGCAGTTTAAACAGTCAGCCTCCTGCCCCTATATGGATTAATGTTGTATTGTTTTAAATTGTTTTTATGATGCACACTGTCCAAAGTGACTTGTTCTGCATAGAACTCAATATAGAAATCAAATAAACAAATAGGCATTCTGTTTTAGCAATCTTTGATAGTTTTAAAATGATTTTTATGCTGTTTTGTTTGGGAGCCACCCAGAGTTCATTATAAGATGTGTGGCTATATAAATATTTTAAACAAACACATAAATGAAGACTCAAATTCCCAATGCCTATTCTTGCTTTGGATTGATCCCTGGCTATATGCATATGTAACCAAGGATTTACATGCACATGGGAATGAAGGATTTATTGGTAAGGTATAGTGTGGCTGATAGTTGTGCAAGTGGAAAGCCTTATAATTTCCATGCAGAATGTGCAAGAATCATTAATCAATATATGCCTTCTGAAGCAGGTGCTAGAAAATTTAAACAATGAAAATGGTTTTATTTAAGGATACAGTTTTGAAGTTAATATGACTCAGAGCTGTTTTAAACTACAGTTTATTTTAAATTCAAGGGATTTTGCTTGCTATTTTGTAGTTCTGCATTTTGTCTAGTTTTGTACTTTGCCAATTTTATATAAGCTATTTTGTCCATTTTGTAAAATTATTGGGTATAAAATTACATTTTAATCTCTAGCACATGTAACAGAGTAGTGTTCTTTCAATAGCTATTTTAAATGTTTACAGCACTCAAATTTTCAACTTCCAGCAGGGCTATGATGGGTTCACTGTTCAGGACTAGTCATTCTTAGACTGTTGCTAAAATCTCTCAATCCAAGCATAGTTCTATGTTGAGGGTCTAGCCACTATGTGAATCCATTACCCATATTAAAAAAAAAATGGAAGGGAGGGGAAGGGAAGGATGGCCTCTCACATTAGATGGAGTTGTTGAGTCTGTAACAATCACAACTGCAGTGATTCACTTAACAACTGTCAAAATATCAATTAGATTGCATATGATGATGAATATATTGAGTAGAAAACTTCAGTTTAAAAAGAAAAAAAATCTGTTTTTATGTAAAAAAAAGAAAGAAAAGAATAACCAGCAAAAAAAAAAAAAAAAAAGAGCCTGGGATCATACTTTGAATACTTCGTCCACCTCATCTTACATGAGAATCTGATCAGTGCATTTATAGAGATATATCTACACGCCAAAGTATTACTGGACTTACCTGAAATGAAGCTCCACAGGTAAAGTCCTAATGGGCCATGTAAGGTTTCATAAGGATTGCCAAATGCATTGTACATGAAGAAGCCGGTTGCAATCAGTGCAAAGACGAATAATGCCAAGCAAAAGAGGATGATGCTTACATGGATACTTGCCGGCATAATTTTGAATAATTCTGGAAAAACTAACAGAAAATATTGATTATTTATAAAAGCTGAAAAAAATAATGCAGAAAAATATTCATTTATTTATCCATGACATTGCATGTTGCCTCATCAATCATTGTGGCTGGAACAGGGAATTACTATCAACGTGGAAAGAATCTTGATAAGCAAGGCAAGATGTTTTCGTAACTTGCTTATGATTGAGGACTGACATTAAATAGAAGTACAGATAAAAAAGACAACTATATGAAGATAGTAAAGCTGATACAATAGAGGACATGTTGTCAATGTTTATGTTTTAATACATATACATTTTTCGAGAAGGGTTAGCAATTAAATGCAGTTTGGCAACGTTTAGTTTCCTTTTGTTTCATCACTGGAGCAAAACTCACAAATTCAAACCTACTGAGGTACATCAATCTGCCAATCAGCATTCACGTATATTTCCTACATTTCCTAACATGGTGCCTACCAGAAGAGCTAGACTTCTAGACAAAAACTACCAGCAGCCCAAACATATATGGACAATAGTATTTATTTCTCCAGGTTACTCTCCATTATTTAGTGTACAGGTACTCCTCAAATTACAACAGTTCATTAAGTGAACATTTGAGGTTACAACGGCACTAAAAAAAAGTGATTCATGACCATGTTTCCATACTTACAACCATTACAGCATCTCCATGGTAACATGATCAAAATTCAGATCCTTGGCAACTGACTCGTATTTATGATGGTTCCCAGAGATATGTGATCATCTTTTGTGACCTTCTGACAAGCAAAGTCAAGGGGAAGTTAAATTCACTTAACAACCTGGTTTCTAAGTTCACAACTACAGTGATCCACTTAACAACAAGTAAAATGGAGCAAAACACACTTAACATGCTTGTTTTTTGCCACAGTTGTTAAGTGAATCGCTGCAGTTGTTAGGTTAGTAACATGGTTATTAAGGGAAACTGGCTTCTTCATTGATTTTGCATATCAGAAGGTTGCAAAAGATGATCACATGACACAGAACTGCAACTGTCATAAATAAATGTCAGTTGCCAAGCATCTTAATTTTGATCACATGACCACAGGGATGCTGCAACAGTCCTAAGTGCAATCACTCCCCCCCCCAAAAATAACAATGATAAATCACTTTTTGCAACTTTGCCTTTATAACTTTGAATGGTTGCTCATTGAAGGCTTGTAAGAGCATAAATTAAACCTGTATAGTTTAATTTCCAAATAATTTAAACACAGGATGCATTCCACAGAAGGTGAGTTTTTGTTTGTGAATCATATCCTTATTTGGTTCAGCATTACTAAACATATTGTATATTAATATATAGTAAGAAATGCTCTATTTATATAAAATATATATAGTCACATAATGGCTCTAAAGGCAATGTACAAGTAGATAACTACTTCGGCAGAAAAGTTTGTGGGTTAATCTTTCTACTGATTTTTAAATACCTCTGCTGAGTTAGCCACAACAGATATTTTAGAATGATTTGTAGAATACAAGATAACTGCTCCTAGTCCACAGGGGTATGATTAAACTGGTGCTAATAATTCCTTAGAATTGCTTGGCTGTGGTTAAAACATGCTGAGAAAAACCAATGTAGGTAATGCAAATAAATTTATATAACACGTATAATATAAATTATCTGCAACTGCGTTTGAACTCTCTAATTCTGTCAACTGACTTGAGATTCAAGCACTTCATCTTAATATTATAATTTGTTGGTGGAGTAATGGTGCAGTAGACTATGCTGTTGGGCTTAAAATGTGGATTTCTAGGACATTCCCTTTTTTTTTAAATGAAGCTCTAGTCTTCAATATTGCAAATTAGATCGTTGCCCACAAACGGAAGGCTTGGATGTACTGGTGTAAAAACATTAATTACTTTTTCATTTACAAGCACAATTCAATGTCCTGTCCTGATCTTAATCTCTAAAATCTGTGTAAGTTTGGATCCAGTTATCAGAAGGACAATGTCTTCCCGGACAAGCCTGCCTGAACATGTCAGATCATTATCGAAGCTTTGCCTCCAAGCTTTTGCTCTTCAAGAGGCAAGACAGGTGCTAAGTGAAGAAATACTTGTTTCAAATATGCTCTTTCCCCCAAAAGATTTGTGTGACACCATATTGTTCCTTTTTCACACAATTCCTTGTTCTGAAAATTGTTTCTGGTTTTTCCCCCCCATTTGATTTATAGGTTTCTGGGAGATTTAGTTTAACCCGAAGAGCACCATCTTCTTTAAATAAATATCACTATCCTACCACTTCTGCTAGGATGATGTTGGGAATTTCAGTGATCTGTCACATTCTACTTTATTTTGAAATAAGCAATGAACTCAGTGTAGCAGAATGCACAAAACGCATGGCTTAGCTAAAATCAAGATATATGTATAACAATAAATCAGTGGAATGGCTTGCCTTCAAAAGTTGTGGGTGCTCCATTACTGGAAGCTTTTAAAAAGAGACTGGATAGCCATTTGTCTGAAATGGTACAGGGTCTACTACTTGAGCAGCATGTTGGAGTAGAAGACCTACAAGGTCCCTTCCAACTGTTATTCTGTTCTGTTCTGTACTGTACTAGCAGAAATAAATTTTAAAAAGTCACAAAATTTATCTGTTGTGAGTAAGGATAAACAGAAGAATGTTTTGATTGACTTAATAAAAAGCTGGTGAAGTTTTGTTTAAACAAAAGATTTTAGAATTGTAAATATGCCTATGCACACTTCTCTGGAAATAAGGCAACTGGGTAAAGAGGCTATTGCTGATGACAGATAAAAGGTCGGACACCATGATATCTATTTCAATTGTTCTTTCATGGTTTAAGCAATTGTACTCCTTTCAAAGATACTTATAGAGGATAATTGTTCAAACATTAAGTTAATCAAACATCTAACACGTAGCACATATCTTTGAAAATATCCTACTTTACAGGCATATCCAAAGATTTATGCTATGATAATGTTGGGAATTTCAGTGATCTGTCACATTCTACTTTATTTTGAAATAAGCAATGAGCTCAATGTAGCAGAATGCACAAAACATATGGCTTCACTAAAAACTTCAAGTTAAGCATACAATAACTGACTTCAATAATTTGGCCTGCCAAATGTCTTTGGATTTTCTCCCATCATACCAAGCTACAATTTAGGTCACTGCACATTGTGGCATCTGTAGTCTTATCATACAATTAAAGCAACATATAAACCTACTATAGTTTATGCAGAGTTCCAGATTATGGAAGGCTATGTTGGTGAATTAACCCAGTGGTGGTCATGAATAAACCTGCTTTGAGCTGCAATGCATATTGTGCAAAAAAAAAAAGTGCATAATATACATGTAAAATCACAAAATGTTGATTGTTTTGATAGCTAGGGTGAGATTTTTTTTTAGCAATTGCAATACTTAGGCTTGATGCCACACTAGCCACCTATTTCTCTCCATAGCTACATTTACATTTTAAAAATCTATCATTACAATTTATAGCTGGCCATTTAATAAAATTTAATCCTGCAACAATGTTGCCTTAGAAGCAAAGCCACTTTAAACGTCGAGGAATAAATCTGAATGCTGATGGCCTTTTAGAAAATGAACTGCTGACCCAGAAACTGACAAAAGTCAGAGGAAACGAAGCAGAAGGCTCTCTCTATGCCTGCATGGGTTTTATAGGCAGAGCAAATTCATTTTACAATTAAAATATATATATATATATAATAGTGGTTAATAGGAAAAACATTGAATTGGAGAATAGGCCTAAAAAGGGCAGATGATTTAATTTTTCTTCTCAAGCATGACATACAGGGACTCAATGCACTGATATGCAAACACAGCTAGCAGAAGTAAATGGTACTATCACCAGGGACATTTTTTGTGACTTAAATAGAGTTTGCATGAGTGGTGCTGCAAGTGATGATAAAATGGGTGCTAAACCTTTCATAGGATTTAGCTGCCTTAAAGCTACAGTGCAAAAAATTTAAATCCATAAAAAGGGCAAAAAGATGCTAGTATTATTTTATACTATCATTGCTTTTTGCTGTCCATAGATTAATTACACTTTTCTGCTGCCAAAGTTTTCAGTAGAAACACCTGTTTTCAGTATAAAAACAATGTACGTTATATACAAGGAAAGAAGGATTATATATATTGCACTATAGACACAATTTTTTCCATGTATTGGCAAAACCATATATGCACTGCCTTGTATACATTACACACATTTATAATCTGCATGCTTTACCCAGTTTCCTGTAAATGAGATAATCAAAATTCCAAATTTAGAAGGGATATTCATTTATCCCTCTAGCCTTTGATCATATTGCCAAATATACCTACAGCACATGAAGGCTGAGTTGGATCCTAGAACCACAGGTTGCTTACCAGTTTCAGTGGATTTACATAGACTGTATGAGAAATTTGCTGATGTCCCTCTAAAGCATCAAACAGCAATTTTTTGAAGAGTAGTTGTAGACCAAATAGCATAAACCTCAATAGGAATGTTATTGTATCGTGGGTGGTTTGTTTTAATTGCACTGTTGCTGTTGTTTTGTTTTACTGTTTGCCACCCAGAGTTTATTAGGAGTTTATTAGGTGTTGCTTGGAAATAAGGTACAACATTTTAAGACATTTATTCATCTGTTGTTATTAGTCCATTTGCCTGTTTAAAACTTGATTTTACTCCTAACATGTATCTCTAGTTGCAATATAGAACATCTTTGTATTTTGAGGAGTTTACTGACATACAAATAGTCCTTAACCTGCAATTGTTCATTTAGTGACTGCTTGAAGTTACAGTGAAGGAAGTGACTTATGCCTGGTCCTTGCACTTATGACCACTGCAACATCTCCACAGTCTTGTGATCAAATTTTGGGTGCTTGGCAATTGTACTTATGTCAGTTTGAACCACATTAAATAATTATGATGAGCAAAGTCAAAGGGAGCCTATGATTTAATGATTACATGGTTTACCTAATAATGCAATGATTTGCTTAACAACAATGACAACAATGGTTGTAAAATTGCATTCACTTAATAACTGCCTTGCTTAGCAATGAAAAATACTGATTCCCAACTGTGATACAGACAGTCAAGGGCCACCCAGATAGTTGAGGCCTATCTGTATTTTGATTTCTCCTTCATATTAAGGAAATTCTAAAAGTTTAGAGTTCATTCTGAGCTATATTTAACCTCCTTGTTTTCACTGTTGCTTAATAAATAAGAGAGAATTTTCAAACAGCTGCAGATTGTTTAGGCGAGAACTGTTTATCAGAATGATCGTTCCCATTCCAGAATTATACACTATCTGGTCAAGGCCAGATCTTGCTGTCTGGTGACCATGGAAGCAGGGCCATGAAGTCTTGGTGCCAGGATTTAATAACACTAAAGCTTTGTGCCTCTGCACAGGTTTGTAAACTCAGTGCTGTGCATCCCTGGCCTTGGAGTATACCTGCTCCTTGAAATGGGCCTCCTTGCAGCTGAAGGGGAACTACCTTGCTTGGAATGTTATGCTTCTTTGTGTTTCTATTTAGTTTGCCTGTTATGGTTAAATGATAAAATTTGAAATTTCCTTATCCACTGGTACATTTATTGCCTGGATCCAAAAGAACCAAGGGCCTGAGCAATGATCACTTGGCAACACAATGCCTAAATTCCATTAAAATAATGTTGTGCTTGTTTACAATGACAGGAGTCTGTCCTTCAGAGGTTTGTGCCTCTTTCCAACACTTATGTCTCCTCTTTCTAACACTTATGCCTCCTCAGTAGGAATTTGCTCTGTAGCATCTCCAATCAAAGGATTGTAATGAAATAAAGGAACTTCTGCTTTGCAGTCAGAAAACACCAGACTTAATTTTTAATATCTCCTGGTAGGTGTAAAAAATTTGTAGTGAAATCTGGGCAACCACGATCAGCTAGTAGTGGCAGTATTTGGCTAGTTGGACAGCTGCAATGTCCTGGGGCCACGTGATCACTTTTTGTTATGTTCTTACAAGCAAAGAGAATGGGAAGCCAGATTCCCTTAATATCTATGATACTAACTTAATAATTGCAGTAATTCGTTTATTTACAGAGGTCTTCAAACTTGACAGCTTTAAGACTTGTGGACTTCAACTCCCAGAATTCCTCCTCCAGTCATGTTAGCTCAGGAATTCTGGGAGTTGAAGTCCACAAGTCTTAAACTTGCCAAGTTTGAAGACCCTTGAACAACTGTGGCAAAAAAAGTTATAAAATTGGGCAAAATTCACTTAACAAATGTTTCGCTTAGCAACAGAATTGTTGGGCTCAATTGTGGTCATAAATCAAGGACTACCTGTAATCTAGTCTCTGTAAATCACTACACTCATTGAAGCAAATTTTGTATTAGTGTACATGTTGGAAATGATCGGAACTTTGTGCGAATGCAAGCTCTCTATTAGAGAAGTATTTCTCAAACTTTAAAAAATTACCCCTGCTGGCGTGGGAATTCTGGGAGTTGAAGTCTTCACACCAAGTTTGAGAAATACTTTTTAAAAATTTCCATGTGAGGTTGAAAGGAATTGCTGCTGTAGCTACTGCTTTACAGAATCCACTTATCAGAGCGGCTGAGATCCTTAAAAGCAGTGACACTGTTGCCAGCCTTGAACAGAAAACTGCAAGCAGCTTTTGAATGAATACCAGCGCAAGATTGAATTTCTTAATCATTTCTGAAGCATGTATACCCCACTGCATATTTCTCTTCTGCCCCATTTAGCAAGGTCTCATTTGACTAGAACAGCAATGTAACAGCCAGGCTGTTTCCCCCCCTGTCCTAATAAAGCAATACTATCCTCCCTTGGCTTATGCTGGGTGAAAAAAAAAGAGGTTTTATCTGCACTGCCAATGAAGCATCTATTTAAGAAGCATGTTCAGGTTACAATTATATTGTCATCGTGGCTCCTTCAACAAAAACCTGAAACTTACCTTGTTGCCTGAATCTAGAGTGGTCACCATTTTGCATTTAATAAATTAGTAACCAAGTTCTCATATTACAAGAGATGAACACTGCATTCTTAGGATGCTTTTTACCTGTCATAACCAAACACTTAATCTTAAGAATTCCAGGCATATTGAAAAAGCAAACTTACTTAGTTTGCCTCATTTTAAGTTATGTCTGAATTCTGGCATCAGTGAAAAGAGTAGAAGATTGTTTCTGTTGTATATAAACCAAAGTTTGTATTATACAAACACAGCAAACTGTAATTAAATTTAACTGGATTATTGAAATAAATTCTCAAATTCAAACACAGCAAACTGTAGTTATATTTAACTGGATTATTGAAATCTTCTAAATGTGACTTGTGGATTTGTGTTTTTCTCACTAATCCAATTCATCTAAAGCTATCCTCTTTCATACAATTGTATCAGAAGAGTAAGGCTCAGTAAAATATATTTTCTTCCATTTATCTCATGCGCCCTTAGTAGAGCATTTCTTGGGGATGGAATGTTAAGCAAGATGATTTTAGTAAAAACAACATCCAGTTCTTGTTTCATTCTTTACAACAGCATTAATAAAATTCATAGTAGGCTGCAATTTGAAAAGTAGATCTTCAATAAAGAGAAAATTTTGGGGGAAAAAGTTTAAACTCTGCTTGCTGTAGAATTTAATTAACAAGGCTATTCTTGACAATAACTTGAATGAATATGGTTACCATCACTGCAAAGATTTCAGACCATCACAAATTATTTGGAGCAGCCAGAACTGCTTCTCTGCAGATTGCCTGCCAATTCTTGCTGATAAAAAAATAAGTAAATTTTAGGTGACATGTTATCAGCTGTTGTCTTTATAACCATGATTTGTGTGCTGCTCAAAGAAGTCAGCCTTGTGACTGGCAGCCTTAACAATATTTTGGTGTGGAAGATAAACTGATGCATCATAAAGTATAGTTCCTTTTGTGCCAATCAAGGAGAGCAGGGGTTAGCAGCACAAGCAACATTTTATTTCTCCATTTAAGGTAGTGTCTCAATCTAGAAATACATATATTGGAACTGAATCCATATTTCTTTTTAAAATGCCAAGCCAAATTAGGTTTGTGGAGGCTCACCTTATATTTACACATCTATCGGTCTAAGACAATAAATGGAATTGCCCACAGGTAGGGTTGTACTACTGCATTTAGTTTTCTGCATCTATTGAAACTGAAGATTCATTCCAGTTCTCCTTGCACTCATTTTAAGCAGATTAAAAGGGAAGACAAAGGTCTAGCTTGAGGGAGGGGAAGCAGCTGAGAAGTTAATATTGCAATTTTCTGCAAATGTATTTAGAAAAAATGCCCTATGGAATAAATTGATGTTACTACCATGCAAATCTCTATAGGTTGAGCTTGCCTTATCTTATGCAAAGGTATATAATATAGTATAAGAGTTTCAAACACAATTCAAATTTTAAAAAATGATAGATTAATACATATATATTATAGCGCTATAATTTTGCATTTCTCATTTGTAACTCTTTCAGAAGAAATAGGAGAAAGCTCATTTACTTTGTCTGTCAGACCATGATAGCATGCACAAAGTATTAAATAATTCAGATTGTCATTGTTACTTACATGAAAACTGAAAAGGTCTCCCTCCAAGGCCACATTGTCTAACCCTCTCCCCATAGAATAGTCCATACTGAATTTCACCAATAAACTTATCTAATTCCTGGCCAGTAGCATTAACAAGCAATGCTCCAGTTTTGCAAAGAATTTTTCCTTGGATCCATAGCTGAGTTCCTATAGCTGCTGCAATGGCCAGAGCACAAGCAAAACTGAACACACCCGCTATGCAAAAAACAACTTTCTTCTGTTGGGCTGGCATATATAATCCTAGATGAGGCATGCAGGAAAACGTGAAAATATAATTTCAAATGAAATCTTTAGTAAGGTGGGTTTTGCAGCATCCCTTCTCAATGTTACTTGAGAACAAAGGTTAAAATAACAGATGGAAACCTCAGTGTAATTTGATGAGTGCCCTGTTTGGGTTTGTTTGCTTTTTAATAGCCTTTGTCTGATTGGGTGAACTGAAAATTCCAGAATGAGACCTGGATCTTGGATTAAGTTAGCCACTGTGTGCCCGGGGGTGGGGTTGAGTTGACAGTGGCAGGGGAGATGCTTAAATTTAAATCAGGCAGATCACAATAAAATATTCAGATTTTAACATTTTATCTTTACATAGTGCTAAAATGTCATTCAGGCAGATGATACGAGGTCTATTTAATAATGTTATTATTAAAATAAGGCTGACAGTGTTCTATTTTATTCTCAGATTGGGCGTATGAATGGACAATGGGCAATGGCTATATTACTGCTTGTCACAAAGCTGTTCAACTGGATGAGTGCTTTCTTTCAAACAAGGGTTATCTGCAAAATTCCAGATGATCTCTAGGTACCAGCAAAGAGACAAAAACGATCTCTTTGTTAACATCCACCCTAATTCAAACAATTTTTCTAGTTAAGCAATTTCATAGTTAAATTAATGTACATCTAAATGTTCTAGTTCCGTTAAGTGGGATTGTTTATTATCTCCTAACCCCATTTTTCTCACTATAAATGATTTAACTATTTTCAATTGTGCAGTAGAATCAATTAATTGAACTCAAAGCTTGTAGCTTTTAGATACACTTTTTACTTATTCATTATAAATCTCTCACTGGAAATGAAGCAGAGTAGAATAGTAAGTAGAACATTGTATATAGCACATACCTGTTCTTTAATGGTCCTTTGAAATGGATTTATGTAAAACCTGGCATTTGTAGAACAGTTTTCTGAATTCCAAGCAGAGCAAATCATCTCTAAAGTTTAAGCACGTTGTAGTACCAAGCCACATATTATATGAATTCTTTCTTTCATTCTCTCTTTCTGGAATAATTTAACCATGGCATTCTTAATTAATTTATGTACATGTAATTATCCTTCCATGTGTAATTTGCTGTCTTGTTTGTTCCTCATACATATTGTAAGAAGTGGGTAGTGGGAAGAGAACTTGCACCAATTCTACTGATACACAGTCTTCACCTCTAAGCAGGTTATTCATACCAACAATTTTGTTTATATGTTCAGAGCTCCAAGAATAACAGGCTGATTCAATATATTTTCATCTTTTCCCCCAAATAACTGACTAATGTTTTGAATGCATGTACATTTTTGCCTCTTAGTGATGATAGATGTAGAGGAAAATTTCTATGAAGAAATTCTATAACATTAAGAGCTATAAAGGTTACAACACATAGAAGAGAAAATAGGCAGAATCCGGTGATTGTCCATTCTATGGCTGAAAACATTTTGTTCCAGCAAAGCATTTATTTCTCTAAATTTTCTTTTTAAAATGCGGATGGAGTCTAGTGTATGTTACATGTTAATTCATTTCCAAGATCTAATTTCACATCAACCTTTTCAACTGATAGAAGAGAAAGCATAAATTTATCTTCAATTTCCAGGCTAGCATTTCAAAAGCATCAAAAAGAAAAGATGCAGCCTTTCACAACTTGAATCTAAACATGGCCCCTTCACATGTCTCAGTAATCATTGTTTTATGATTATCACAATGTTATCTTCATATGGTCCCTATCCTGTGCCAGAAGTCTTATTTCACTATTGTAGTGTTATAATAGTGTTTTTCCTCTTATGTATATCATCCTATGACCTTCAACAATGATTTTGTTGGTAGTGTAATCAAGTGATCCCTCAAGAGTTGGGATTAATCTATTGGCCACTTTAGACTAATAAGGCCATCCCCTTCTTCTGTCCCTTAGAACCAAAGACATTGAGATTTAAAACTAGGAAAGCTCTTTAGGTGTAAGTATCCATCATGTGTCTGAGTTGCCTTTTTGTTTGGAGACCCTAAGCAGCAGCAGACAAGCAATAGTGATGAGGAGAAAATTCACAGTGAAGTGAGAGAACGGGAGCATCAGTCAGAGCTATAGGTTAGACTGGGAATAAATAAGTCACTTTATTTGGTCCTGTAATCAAATTTGATGCTTTAATCAAGAAACCAACATGAAAGTATGCATGAAGTCGCTTGGAATGAAGCATATTTTTTTCCTCCATATAAACAGCAAGTGTCATAATCTACTTCTTTAATTTCAACATTTCCATGAAGTGAGAACCATTGTTTTTTTTTCACATGAAATGGCTGACCATTTCTCCATTTAATCAAATATTTAACCAACATGCATAGTTGGTTTGGACAATATAAAATGACACTTCTGCCATGAGAAATTTCACTCAAAGTTTATGATACATGTAATTCTGAGTATGTATGGAAAGAAATGAATACATTTCCATGAAGGTATTTTGTTAGTTTTGAAACCCAAATTTAGTAACAATAATTGGCCCTAACTCTTTGTGCTGTCATAAATATTTGAAATTAAAGTCTTTGTGTTAAAACCTTAGAAGTGTTTGCACTAAGAAAATTGTTTGGACTACCTGCATGCACACAAGTGTGTGGAAATGGTAGAAAAAGAAGAAAGGAATCAATAAAATAGAAACTGATGATAATGGGATTTTAAATTGCCCTAAAATAGAGATGTTATATTGAAATATAAAATGCTACAATCCCCACTGGAGAATTAGTCAACCCAGCATTCAAGTGACTGAAACTCTGTAGGCAACCCATTCAGAGATTGAATGTACTAATTAAAAAGCTAAATGAATATTTATGTAATCTGTCAGGTGAGAAGATTTCATAGAGCTCTAAATTCAAAAAGCTATACTTCATGAACAGTAATTGCTTTCCTAAATCAAGTTTTTGCATGTAACTGTATTACAACATGATCTTATAATATATCTATTATTTCAAATTAAGCTTCATCATCAAGAACAGGCATTATTTTATATAATGGATTTTATTATTAATGTATTATTACCTTTCATTATGAGAGAGTATATATTTTTTTTAAAAAATCTATAATGTATACATAGAAGAATCTATAGAAGAAAGATTATAGCTGATTTGCTTATAACTACTCATATTATTAACTTATAAAATTTAAACTAATGTGACTATTTTTCTATGACCATCTGCATGCATGGCTTTTTAAGTTAAATACAGTTTTGGTTGTTATCAGTAAAACTTCTTCATTCCTTCCTGGATTTCTGTTTGTAAAATATAAAGATTTTAAAAGCATATTCTTTTATGCTACAAAGATTATGATAATCTTGAAAAGATATATAAAGATTATGAACCAATTATACAATCTACCATTCCCAGAATTTATAAGAATCAGTGCCATTGAAAAATTGATCTTTTCTGTTTAACATTTGAAAGGTTTTTAAAGAGGAAAATGCACAGCACAAACATTGCAGAGACTTAAATTTCAGTTTAATCTTTTGGCTGCTAGCATGCTTGAGTGGCCTTCAAGCTCACAGAAAAGGTGCAAACTAGATATAGTTGAAGGTAATGCGCAAAAATACTAGTACAATATCAAAAGAAAATTCCGGTTCCAAGCAGATTATGAAAGAAATGCACTGGACAAGCTGATTGAAAAGGAGGGTAGTTTATCAGTTTAGCATAGGTTACAGCAATTGAGGTAACTACCAAATGGAAGGTCAGAGGCTAGTGATATTTATAGTAAAGTTGGTCCTTTGTGAGCTGTGGGATCAAGGTGTTTGTTCTGATGGACGTGACATTCCGGAAGGTGAAAACATTATTTTCTCACCTTACTGGGTATCTTGATTTTCTTGAGTGTATCTGGGGTACCACACTGTGTAATTTCAAGATTTCTGCATCATGAAAGGGATTTATTTTTAATTATAATTAAGTTGCTGGTATTTGCTTTTCCTAAGTCGACATACTTTTATCAGTTTCAGTCTCACTGTCAATTAATGGGCCTAAAAAGCTTTTGCAACATTGTACATTCTCTGCTTGCAACATTGTATATATCAGTTTTTACAAATGGAAAGAGTGGCTGGGCATGACCACAATTGTGTCTCCCACAACAGTAAATTATGTATCCAGGGAAACTTTTTTTGCACCATGATTACTCATGACTCTGGCTCACTGTTTCCTTAAGACCCTCTGAATACGTTAAAGTAACTGAGTTCAAAGAGAAAAATAAACCAGTTGCTGCTTTCTGGGTCACTTTAAAATGGCTATAAAAATGGCATAGAAAACTAATTTCAAAATGAAGCCCTTGCAAAGAGTATTCAAATTAAAATATGGATGGTCAGGAAGAAGCTGTGAGGGGTGATCTGCAGTGGCACACGAGCAGCATGAGGCAATTAAAAATCACATACAAGCAAAACCAAAAGATTCCCAAATCCTATCGGATGACATATTTAATGGAGAAACTGTAAAATATGATGGACCTGAAACATTCATGAATGGTAGCTATCTGGTATCTAGTTAAATACTTTGAGTGATGCACATACAACTAGCTCCTGCCATCAGCTTCTGTTGCAGAGATGAACTGTTCTTGCCTTTAATAGTTTTCGTATACATTTATCTGAAATTTCTCCCTGCTTATTCTACTTCTTCCCCTTGGAGCAAGAATTCTGGTGAAGAGATCACCAGTGGTCCTCCAGACTGTCAACTCATAAAATATTTCAATGGTCTTTTTAGAGTTGCCAACAGAAAGGGGTGGGGGGGGGAAGGGGTTTGAAAGAGCAGTGCAGCAGCTTGGAAATCGAAAGTGCATTCCATAAATAGTTTTCAAAGATAGTAACTAGGTGACTGAAGTTTCTGCCATGCAAAATTCTAACTAGACAACATGATTGATCACTCTTGGCTATGGATGTGTCTCATTGGAGAATATGAATTATGATACACCCAGGGGGTGGGGGAAAACCAGGGTCAAGGGTGATAATGAATTATGAGTCAAT